GGGGGGCGTGACGCGAGAGGGGTCGACGGGGTGAAAGTGTTTGTGCCATCGTGACTCTGTTCGGGGCAGGACGCCATGACCGTGTAGGGTTTGTTCGACTACGGTGGGAGCGATCGTCGTACAAGTGTTGCTTTCTGGTAGCGTTGATGACTGTGTTCGGGGCAGGACGCCATGTGGAAGTGTTTTTATTGGCATTTTTATTTTTTTTTCGCTGGATTTCGGCATGCCACTGTTCAGAGGTGGCATGCGTAGTAGAAGGTGTGCATTGGTAGCGCACCAAATATCCTTATGGGTGATGTTCTTTTTTAACTTCGCAACGATGCGTGGTCTTCTGTTTTCATTCCATCCATCACTTTTTKTTTTTTTTTTACCTCATTTTTTTTCTTTTTTTTTTTTGGAAAACGCATGCACGGCGGGTACGGTTTCATCTCTCATTGTCTATTGAATTTTCGTGGCAACAAAGTTATGCGTCATGTGTCTTGCGTATCGAACGTCCAATCCATCCTTCCGCCTTCCTTTCCTAAAAACAAAAACAAAAAAATATAATTTATAATACACAAAACAACTGTGTTGCAAACCCATGCAATAGCAGCTCCCTTCAACGTAACAACAAGAGAAATGCGGAATGAACTGGGTTTGGCATACAACATTGTGAGCGAAGGAAACTCAAATCTGAAAAAGGGATTCCCCTTAGAATGCAAAAGCATTTCCAGGTACCAGGAACGTTGCATTGTTTCCAATCAAACCCCTCMCCCCACCCTCCCCCCGCCCCCCTCTCGCCCGCCGTCCCCCGTCATCATAAGTACTGTACGTTGCACGCATGGAACGTGAAACCCCGTCACGCGCACCCGCCATAACGGCAATATCCGCAAGCACCAACTATACTACCTGAGCGAACAATAACGCTAACCTGCCCGTACTCCCTGTCCATGGACAAGGAAAAAAAGAAAAAAAAAAACAAATAAAAAATACAAAAAAAAAACTAAAAACCAAGCAACAGCGCACATAAGCCAGTCGTCGACACTCAACACTAGACAACTATCCGCACCGACCACGCGAGACACGCCGGCCACATCTCGCTCGAACGACGCTACCACGGTCGGACTGCCATCGTCGACCGCCTCTTGCTGTGGGACGTCCACCTCCGCTTCCTCCCGCCACCGGATCTCCTCGGTGCTCCCCCGCTTCCCACAGCTTCGTCCCTCAGACTCGTTCCATTCAAGGCGGGGTCTCCAACTGCGAGCACGGCCAACCTCACTGCGCAATCATCCACTCCGCCAACGCGTCCCTCAATATCAGCGCATCCCCCGTCGTAGACTCCATGCACACTGGCCTCAATGGCTGATGCATCCCCAGATCCACTCTACGACGCACACCGTCTGGACCCACTTCCCACAGCAGATTGTCGTCAAACGGGATGCCGACGCCGATGAGTATGTTGTGGAGGATGCAGACGGCGACGAATTGTTGCGGCAAGCTGTCCATGTTGCACTTGTGGGTGCGGAGGAACAGCCTCCACATCCCCTTCAGTCTGCCAAACACCCTCTCCAGTGCTCCCCTGGCCGACTTCTGTTTGTCGTCGAAGCGTGCCTCCGTCGGGTGTTGCGCGAGACCGCCGTAAGGGATGACTATCCATTCCGACTGCGGATAACCATTGTCGTCGAGCAAGTAGCCATTAGTCCACACACCGAAAGGCAGCATCACATGCGGGCCAGTGAAAAGTTGTCCTGACTCCGCGCGCACCCACAAACTCGACAGGTTCAGCATCCTCATGTCATGCACACTCCCCCGATAACCGACGAAGACGTCCAGCACACGCAAGTTCATGTCGACCACCACTTGCGCCTGCACGGAGAATCTACGTCTCCTGTCGCAGTAGTCCTCACCGTTGGCGTTCGCGCGTTTGTCGATGTAGATATGTGTGCAGTCGATGCACCCATGGCAGTTTGGAAACCCCTTGTCCGCGAAGGCGCGCAACACGACCGCCTTCTGCAAACCTGTGGGCCATGATATCTTGTCGGGGTAAGCAGTCAGCAACGCCCCCGTGACGTCACGCACCGCTGTGATGCCGAAAGCCCTCCCGATGCCGAAGCTACACGTCCCGCTGTCGTACGTCTCCCCCGTCGCCCACCTGTACAGTGCATATGCAATGATGTGGTCTGGCTGCAAAGGCACCCTGTAGAACGTCACACGGCGTTCAAGGAGTGGGGAAAGAGTCTCCGCGATCTCGCGGAAAACACGAGGCGACATTCGAAGCTTCTCCTTGAAGTAATCATCCGTGGCGTCATCACATTGTCGCAGATCCTCCCACATGCCGCCGGTTCGCCGCTTCACCCACCACCGTGGAGTCGCCCGTGGAAACCCCCCGCACCCCATCGCGTAGCAGACCTCTAGCACCGCGTCGGAAATGGCAGCCACATCCAAGCACTGCCCAGTCGTCGGAAGCGCCATGAGCTTGCGCCGTGCACAAACAGCCGCTTTGAAGTTCGCGTCATTGCTCGCCATCTGGCAGCGGAAGAGGACGGCATTAACCACCGCAGCAATAGCCGTCCTCTCCACCGTCGTCAAACCACCGCGCCCTGCCTCGCCGTCAACGTCCATCCCAGACGTCGCTTCCGATGACATCACGAGATTCACACTGGACTCCACAAACACCGCCACGCGCAAGATCACAGCGTCGGTGGCTGTGCAATATCTTGGGAACCATGCACTGACGATGTCGTCTGCCTTTCCCAGCGCTCACGTTTCGATGTCGTCTCCCTTGCCGCCGACGCGGAAACGACCGTGCTCATCGACGACAACCGCAGGGGACAATCGTCGCTTATGCGAACAACACGAGCGCCAGCCGCAGACGCAACCACGCCTGAAACGTACGTCCTCCACACGCCGCCAATTGCAAGGCCTGATTTCAAATTTCAAATTTTGAACAGGAGCACTGCGCGCCATTTCCAAGGGCCCCGTTTTTGTTTTTTTTTTGTTTCCCGCCCTCCTTCCAATTCGCGACGGCCAACAAAGGTGGACCACCGCCGTCCGCACGGACACAACTCGGTGGACCACCGTCAGCCCCACCCCCGCGTCCTCGATGGTCGACTCCGAGGATGAGTGGAACGAAGGCGACAATTTCCTCGGGCGACTCCGAGGAATCGTCCTCGGGGCCCGAGGACGCCCCGAGGAGTGTCGAACGAGCCCCAAAAAAGAAGGAAAATAAAAACTTTTTTTTTTTTTTAAAGGATTTTTTTTTTCCCCCTTCCCCATGGAGCACAGATCAGATATTCAACTGATCGGGTACGAGCCGTATGAATGATGTGTGCAAGAAAAGACAAAGAGTCAGACGCATCATTCTCATCACAACAGATAGCCGAAAGGCCGAGAGAGAGAGAATTCAAAATTGCTGAAGCATTCCTGGATTCCAACTTGGGTCTGTATTTCAAATTTCAATAGGTCATGCAAGGTCATGGGTGTACCAACTGGTGTAAAAAAAAAAAAAAAAACTGGTGTAGGTCCCAGTGTGAGTACGCGCTGAGCTGCGCCGGTGGATCGGCTGTGAGGTATCATATGCGTAAAACTAGCCGTCCCAAAGTATTGCACACTCATTTTATCTTGCTCATTTAGATGTCTCTGGATTCGAACTTGGGTCGACTGCCTCACTCCTACACGCCTTCAGTGCTACCGGGTTCGTGGTCACACTACGTACGGGCTGCGGGAAAAAAGAAGGGGGAAGGGGGGGGGGGGGGGGGGGGGGGGGGGCTGCTTATTCAAAAAACAAAGGAGAGAATCAAATAAAGAGGCTCCCAGCATGGATGGATGGAGGGCTTTATTTTTATTTTTTTGGGTGGGCCCAGTGCACAAGGCAGCACATAGCTCGAACTTCAGACACCGAGTCACGAGGTCACCTGGGGCCTGATCCCATTAGCACAGTGGATTGGATTCATTGGATTCAATTCCTGTATCTGGATGTGTTTTGCACGGAGATGCAGAAAAGCAGATGATCAAACGCAATTTTCTGGCATCTCTCCACAAACACGTCCAGATTCAGAAATTAAATCCAATCCTCTTTGGTAATGGGACCAGGCCCCTGGCCTGGGACCTGCGACCTGCTTCTCAGGCCGAGCTTCCCTCCGCAGCAAATCCAATCTACAACTCAGAAAACTCTCACCCGAATGGAAATCGCTGATGTAACTTGCCTTGGGCACTTTGGGTTACGCCCCCCCCTCCCCACCCCAAAAAATAGGAAAAAGGAAAAAAGGAGGAAAAAAGGAACCAACGACGACTTACGTTTTTCTTTCAAATCAAGACCTTTATTCCAGGCCCAGTGCCAAAGGCCACAGTAGAATGTCTGAGTAGAAACAGGCGGGGAAAAAACAAAGGGAAAATTTGTCTGGCGCCCCTGTAATTTCCATTACTTTGCGTCGCGCCCCTCCGACGCCCCACTTACCCTGTCGTGCCCCTGGGGCCTTCTGAACTTTCCTGCATGCCCCTGTCAGCAAGGGCCGCAACTTTCCGCGGTGCCCTTACTGGACGGCCAGTCTCATTTCCCCGGTCCCTGTGCTATGCGCCCTCATGAGTGGCATACATCTTTC